TCATCCAAACAGACCTTTAAAAAACCTTCGGACATGGATTCTAGACTTGTTTACCTATCAAACTTGCTAACGCTTCTCTTTCTAAATCGATCACCTTTCGATCGATATCTCCTCTAGCCCCTTCCACCAATCATAGCCAACACCCAAATCCATCATCTTTGATTGATTGAAGGAGAAGAGGACATTGAAAGGGGAGAAATCAACGAGAGAACCACGACGACACTACTTGATTTCCAACCCATAAATATCTCATAATTTCTACCAACCCATCAACTCCTACCACCACAAACCCGGTCGAATGACTCCCCGAGTGGTTCTCCTTTGAAATCACAACCAAAAGTCACCAAAAAACTAACTAATTAATGACGACCTATTTCTTGACTCGTTTTTCATTACCCAAAAAAATTAGTCAATCAAGGGCAAATTAGACCCTCTAACCATCACAAAAATACTTCTCGCAACCACACAAGTCAATTGGTGTGCTTGAACTCCCCTACAATGTTTGAAATCATCATCTAGAAGATGAAGAGATTCAATCAAAACTTTAAAGGCTTCGATCTCCCTCCTCATGCGTCGTCTGCTACCACCATCACCACCTTTGAGTTTGACACAACCTCCTCTACAATGTGGGGTGGTTCACATGCCTAAAAGAGCATTGAAAGTTGAATAGATAATTGCCGGTAGCTATTTGTCTTCTAGGGAATTTTGATAATTTTATAGTACATGATTATTTTGGTATCTTTATGTGCAAAGGCATTTTGGTAATTTCAAAACCGACTAGTGGCATTCTAGTCACCGTATAGAAGTCTCCTTAATATCCATAAATAGTTATTTTCTCCTTCTCGATTGATCGAAATAATCGGTCTCCATCCGGATTAAAGGAAGTAAACTGATCCAACTAAGAGAATCCCGACATTCTCACAATGCTTGGTTAACTTTTGAAGTTATTTAGATTGTTTTAAATGATAAATGAATGTGAAATGTTATGTTATGAATGTTTATGATTGTTACATGTCACCTATTTGTCGAAATGAAGTCGTCAATGGCTTCCTACTAATGTGGTCGAAGCTGCTTGCGACTTCTAATCGATTGTTGCCTAATACCCATTTGCTTAAATGAAACTATCAATGGCTTCTTACTTATATAGTCGATGCCGCCTATGGCTTCGATCAATTTATGTGCTTATTTGTTTATCGAAACAGAGTTGCTTGGTGTCTTTCCATTTATGTTGACAAAGCTACATGCAACTTTCAAATTATCTTACCTAGCTCTTTATTTGTCAAAAATGAAGCTATCGATGGTGTCCCACCAATGTGGATAAAGCTACCTATAGCTTCCAAATCATTTGACTTGCCTTTTTGTTTGTCCGAAATGAAGCTTTTGATGACTTCCCACTTATATGGATAGAGCTACCAATGGCTCTTGAACCAGCTTTATTTAATTTCTAGATGTTGAAATGAAATTGTCGATGGCTTCCCACTTATGTGATGAAGTTGTCGGTAACTTTTTAAACCTAAGACTCGAATTTATCGATAGTCTCCCACTTATGTGAGTGAGGTTGTCGATGATTCATTACACATGTTAATAAAAGGCTATCAATCTTTATAAACTCATCTACTTTTCGAGTATAGGTCATGTTCGCTAAAAATTAGCCAAAATTTTAATTTTTTTTCACCTTTCCCCTTTGATTATAGGTATTGGCCTTAGACCGGCCTAAGCTCCAAATTACTCTCTTATTCTATCCCAATAAAATAAATTCACTTAAATAGATATAAAAGCATAACATAGTAAAATTAGATTTTTTATTTTCACATGCAAATCATGCGACCTACTTCGGGTAAGATGAGATGATGGTAATGTTATATCTTCCTCATACGTAACCAATCCTTTACCCAAATATCTATGCGGACCAAGTATGCATAGGGTTTCCTATTTCTGCTTGATTAGTTAGATGACGACTCTTGTCCTCGCATTTCTCTCACGAGCCCACATCGACACTTATGACGGATGTGTCATATGTATTATTAATGGGACTAAAAAGGTGGTTAGAACATGCCTTCATTAAATGCATGTTTGTCCTTATTTTTCTTTTATCTTTTGCCTCTTCTTATGATGCCACTGAATTTTTTACAAAAAAAGATATGCAACTGTTAATGTATCCTCGCTATTTTTTTTCTAAATACACCACTAATGATTTTACTTACAATTGTATCCAATCATATTATCGTTTGGGTTGATATGTTGGTAAAAAGAAAGAGAATATTTGATTAAGGCATTTATAATGGTTGCTTTGCCCTTAACTTTGTTATTAGATCCAAGCCCTTTAGATAATGGTATTCATAAACATTTTAAAGTTTGGTAGCACAATGCTATTCAAAGACGTCACATTTCGGTAGAAGTGTATTTAAAGTGAGATAGCACAACGTTACCTAAAGATTTTACATTTTGGGTAGATATCTTGGTTTAAAGAAAGTGAATATTTGATAAAAGCATTAACAATGGCTGCCTTAGTGACACCAATGTAATTCTTGGCTCTACAAATGGATATCTACTAATTCCCTAGTTTTCTCACAATTTTTAATATTGTTCTATCTCGTATGATGTACTCGCGAAGTTTTATTTTAATTAAAAAATCAAAATAATACATTTCATATTATTTTGTAATTAAACTTTGTCATATCATTTAAAATGAACCGAAATGAACTAAATGTCAAAACACGCTACTATTCATTTCGTTCATATGTTAATTATAAAATTTGTAGATTCTATTGACTGGTTGCTCTTTTCACATAATGAATCGAGTAGAACAAGTGAAATTATTTGAAAAAATAATTATAGTTTGATAATTCTCACCATTGTAGGTTCACTAAAATATATCAAAATTAAAGAAAAAAATTCACTCAACTTTATGATTTCTAATCAAAATTTTGTACTTAATTAATTCTTTGTTATTTTTTTAAATAGATTTCCTTCTATAAAAATATATATATGATTTGTTTTTCTTTATACATGGATTCTTAAATAAAATTTTGTAATAATCTAAAAACACAAGTTTCAATTAATCATAAATAAAAACCAATGTGTAAATTTAATTATTATTTTTTCATAAAATTGGATAAGAAAATAAAGCAATAATTAATATAAAAAAAGCATAAATTTTTAAAATAATATTTTATCCTCGAATATCGGTGAGAAGATTAAATTTTATTATATATATATATATTCAAAATAATTAATTATAATATTATAAAAAAATATATATTTGAAAATATGGTACCATCGAGTGTTTTTTAAATATTTTTAATTACTTTATTTGAGAGAAATTGGTTTCAAACTACCTAAAAAAAATTTTTTTTAAGTAAATGTTAAGTGTTTTGTGTGATATGCATTGTCAATTTTTAATTAAAAAAACTACCTATAAAATTAATTTCAATGAATTTGATTATATAAAAATAAATAAATAAAATATGTGGATTTTATTTTTGTTTTTCATCTTAAGAGATATTTTTATTTCTAAGCCACACATGTCTCGGTCTCTGTATATAAGCTTTACATGTATAACAATTCTCTCTCTCTCACTCTCAAAAACTCAAAAATATTCTTACTCATAAATCAAAATCAAATTCAAAAATACAAGTGAATATTTTAAGTTATCGATCTCCTTCCTTTGACTATTTTATCGTTTGGAACCACCATAACTAAACCATCATCTCTAATGTGAACAAATCAAAATCAAGATCGACATTCAAAGCGAGTTAGAATGGGTTTTGTCATCATATTCTCCCTCTTCTCTTCTCTCCTTTTCATTTCTCTCTCGCATTTAAGGACCAAGCTACAATATTAATAAAGTTGAGAGTCGAAATAAAAATTTACAAAAAAATTAGAGATCAAAGTATAATAATTGTTAAAGCACTATATCAAATTACTAGACAAAATTTGTAAATCTCAACAATGTTATTGTTATTCGATATTTGGGAGACTTCTAAAAATTTCAATATTTGCATAGGAAAAAAATTAAGAAAAAGTTTGGAGTCACCATCTAGAATTAAATATAACTAGAAACCTGAAAAGTATACTAGATTTAGAGATTCTAGTTGAGTTTTTAGAAAAATAACAATCACATAAAGACACTATTTTCAAGAAAAAGTACCCGAATAAATTTAATCTTAAAAATATCTTCTAAAAATTTTATTTGTCAAATAATTTTCTAAGTTTATTTTCAAGTCTATTTATCATCCAAATCAAAATTAAAATTTATTTGAAAATATGGTATCATCGGCTGTTTTTTAAAATATTTTTAATTATTTTATTTGAGAGAAATTGATTTCAAAATATCTGAAAATTAAAAGAACAATAAATGTTAAGTGTTTGGTGTGATATGCATAATTAATTTCTAATAGAACAACTTATAAAATTAATTTTGATAAATTTTGATTATATAAAAAAAAAATACATGGATTTTTTTGGCACTGTTTTGCTCCCAGTTTCTTCCAAGAAATTTCGGGTCAACTAGTGTGAGGCCAAAGACCATATCGCGGCGACCGCTTCTATGAACAAAACTTGGCGACCAGTCCCATTCTAAACTTGGCGTTTACGTAGTAAACATTGAAGACTCTGTAGCTGTCATCATCCATGACGTTGTGGTTCACCAATTATTCAGCACAACAGCAAGACTGGACCAACCTCTTCAATCTAAATACAATAGGTTATCCCTAACTTTGTTTATGTATATATATTATGATTAACTTTCATAATATTATCATACATTAATTTTTTAAATTGAACTTTAAGTAAATCATTCCTATCCAAACTCATACATTTTATATAAAATTATCTTCTAATAAATTCAACAAAAAGAAAAAAAAATTGAATTTCAAAGTGACATATCACCCCATATGAGGTATAATGCATGGCTGCTAAGAGATGAAGAAATCAAATTATATACATTGAATTGAGTCAAAAGTCTTCTTGAATGGACTTTATGAAGTCAAATTAACCAAATGGAAGCATCAAAATTCGCTACCCTTTCAAAGAGGCTCATACGAATATTGCATCCTCAGTTATTCCTTCCTCACGTCTGTCTGTCGAATATATTATTATTATTACTTTTCTTAACTCCAAACGTGACAATAAAATGAAAACTATATAAATGATGGAAGAAAGATAAGAAAAACAAACCCACCAAAAATAAAAAAGAAGAAGAAATGGCAGAATTGTTCATTAAGCAAGCAAAACAATATGCGAAGACCAGGCCAAATTATCCTCAAGAACTGTTCCAATTCATTGCCTCAAAAACACCCACTCATGACCTCGTATGGGATGTTGGCACTGGAAGTGGGCAGGCTGCTCGATCTGTGAGTTCTCTTATATATCCTCCTCTGTTTCTTTCCCTGTTGACATATATATGCATCATTTTTATTTTTTTTTCTGCTAGGACATAAAAAAAGTATGTTAAAAGTAAGGAGAGTAATCTGACCCATTTCGAAAGGATCCGCTCCGTCCTATCTCATTTGAGACAGAGATGGTACCTAAAGTACGTCTCGAATGGGACACAAGGTGGAGAGGGGATGGCCATCCCCACCTCGCCTCTGCTCTATTTGGGGTGAATAAGATAGAGAAATTATGCCCCGAATGGGGCACAAGATAAGAACGAAGATGGTCATCCTCACTCCCTCCATTGCCATCCCTAATTAAAAGAATTGCTAAAAATAAGAAGAAATTGCTAAAAAAGAAGAATAGATTATAGCAATTTGTCATCCATTTTAATTACTTTATTATCCATGAAGCTTGGCAGAATTACAGATTGCATCTTACTAATTAAATTATCCGAAAAGAGGATTTCCAACTTTCCTGAATAGTTTGTCAAACTTTAGCGTTGTCTATAATTTCACAATATCTAGCACAGTCCATGTAATTTGTCCTCCATTATTCTATAATACTACCCTTTTCCTTCTGACAATTGACACGGAAGTGAATATAACATACCATTACAACAAGCTTTTGTGCTCGCATTTCTTGTTTAGAGTAATAATGTTCTAATTGATGCAAGTTTCTTTCAGCTAGCTGGGATTTACAAGAATGTGGTGGGCACAGACACAAGCCTAAAACAACTAGAATTTGCCCCAAAACTTCCCAATGTGAGATACCAACACACTCCTCCCGTTATGTCAATGGCTGAGCTTGAACAGACTTTGTCAACGCAGTCTAGTGTTGATCTAGTGACTATTGCTCAAGCCATGCATTGGTTTGACCTTCCAGCATTTTACCAACAAGTAAAATGGGCACTCAAAAAACCTCACGGAGTCATTGCTGCTTGGTGCTACACAATTCCTGAAGTAAATGACTCTGTTGATTCAGTCTTCAATCCATTCTACTACGTTGATTCTGATCCTTACTGGGAACCGCAGCGTAAATTGGTTGACGACAAGTACATGAGCATCGATTTTCCATTTGAACCGGTTGAAGGAACTGACCACACAGGACCGTTCAATTTTGTAGCAGAGAAATTGATGGACTTAGATGAGTATTTTACGTACCTAAGGTCATGGTCTGCATACGAAACAGCCAAGGCAAAGGGTGTGGAGCTACTGAGGGATGATGTGATTGAGAATTTCAAGCGTGCTTGGAATGAAGATGGGCATGGCCGAAAAGTGGTCAAGTTTCCTGTTCATCTGAAGATTGGCAAGGTGGGAAATGTATAAGATTGCAAATCAAATGGTTAGGTGGGTAAGTGAAAAATAAAGTCAGACTGAAAGATTAATATGTTCCATTTCTTTCGGTTAGGTCAATTCCTTTTTTTTAACCCAAAATTGTTTAGTTTTCCTTAATGAAAAGTTATCTGTTGACCAATGTATTGCTCATGAAATCAGAACCGGCTTATCTAGTCTCTCTGCTTAATTACTCTGTTATTCCAATCTTCCAACCTTGATAAACTGATTTTCAACCAAAGAACTGGAGAATTTCCAAGGAAGTTACTTCAAGAAGGGAGTAAATCGGGCACCGGAGATGAAGTTTCTGCCAATCTATTTTGCAAGGTATCAAAGATAATAAATAGAAACTAAGAAACTATGGAATTGGTACAAACTAAATGACAAGAGCAAGTGTCCATTTTGTTATTTAAAACTAAAGTGCCCCAGAATTTATCTCCAAAATCAATGAATGTTCATAGACTCAAATTAACCAAATAATTAAATTTATCAATCTAACTCGAAGGCAAAGTAAAACAATCCCAAACGTTATCTAGTATTACGTACGTTTCTAACTTAGAGAATGAGCAGCTAGACCTAATGCAGTTATGTCTTAAGAAACTAGCCATAGCTTAGATTTTTGTGATGAAAGACGATTTGAACCTAGTAAGTGAAGAAAAAAATACCTTCTTAATCATTAAAACAATTAATTAAAAAGAAAAAAAGAGAGAGATTCGTATTAATTTATGCTATTTATGAACATGATATTAGAATTAACTGAACATAATCTGGCAAAGAAAATACTCCAATTTAGAAAAGGAGTGATTAGACAAATTTAATCAATGACGTAAATTTCCTTTATCGCCATTACGAAGCGAGCTGGTCCTTTTCTTCTTGTTCATCCATGGTATCACAAAGCGTCACACCTCTTGTCTCTGGCAAACAGAAAACGAACACACTACAACACAAAATCAACAAGCCAAACACCCCATATGATAAAACCTTGTTACTTCTCCCAGCAGAAATCAAAATTGGACTAAACACAGCTCCAAATACAAGTGCTTGCCTTACCATCGACGAGGCTGTATTCCTAACGCAAGTTGGAAACAATTCCAATGTGTAAATCGTTAGCATAATAAAAGCTATACAGGCACTGAAGTAGGATACCAGCTCCAATCCAATTAGTACCTTCCAGTTCATGATGCACATGATGCAGCTGCATATGCCAGTTAATGTAGTGAACGCAAGAAGGGATCCTTTCCTGCCCCATTTGCTTATGATAATGGAAAAGATGATATAGGATGGTATCTCAGCTAAAGCGTTGAATACAACACTCAAGTAGATGTCGAAGCCTAAGTTTCCTACTCCTAAAGGCATGCTGTAATACACAATTCCAATGCCAAAACCTGTTAGCATCACAATTAGCAACCTTTGAAGTGCCCATTTTCTCTCAAGTAAAATCTTGATTGATGAATAGAGGTTGGCCTTTCGTGCTTCATTTTTTTGGGAAATGTACGGTGAGCATAAATTCAAGCGTGTTGGGTCAAGTCTTTTCAATGTTGCCATGGCTTCTTCTTTGCACCCTTGCAAGAAAAGCCAGCGGGGAGATTCGAGTACGACAATATGTACTAATACACAGTACAAGATTGACGGAATTGATGTCCATACATAGATAGTTCTCCAAGAAGAATTTCTGTTTATATAAGCTATGCCTGGCAAAGATAATAGCCCCAAAGCAAAAGAAATTCCTGCAATAGTTCCCATTTGGCCGCGCCATATGCTTCCGACCTTTTCGGTGGCTAACACGAGAGCACTTGCTCCGATTGATGCACGGCCAAATCCACTTAAAAATCTGAAAGCAGAATAGATCCATACATTGGAGGAGAAAATGGTCATGAGAGAAGCTAGGTTCATTGTTAAGCAAGAAAGTAGTAGCAAGTTCTTTCGGCCAAAAGAAGTGTCAGCAAGTGTGGCTAGAACAAAACCACCAAGCAAGCATCCGACAAAGAAAGACGATGCTGGTAGGCCTTTTATGAAGGGGCTTGCACATTCAAGATCCCAATCCGATATGATTGTCTTGTAAGTGGATCCATTCCAGGTCCATGAAGACTTGGAAAGGTCACATATCTTAGCACTTGAGTTGCACTTGTTATCGTTGATGCAGTGCCATGATGGCTCCGAGTCTGTGTAGACACTGATGAATGTCTGCTGTGCATCGAAGAACCTTGATAACAATACAAGGGTGGATTGAACCAGTTGGGTCCATCCAAAATCTTCTATTAACCTTTCAACAACCGTATCAAGGGACGGCTGAAGTTCATCGACCACCGAGTTTTCTGGCTCCAGGGGCAATAAAGGACTTGAATCTGCCATGGTATGATTGTGATTGTGCATGTTATCAGCTAGCAAGTTTGAAGTAGAACTGAAACGGATAGGTATGGATACAAGACACAGAAAATTTGGTTCACTTAAAAGGTCAGGAATAGAACCAAATGCCTTGGATTTGGAACCCCACTAAACAAAATTAGTGCTCACACTCAACTTTAAGTGAAGGAATCCTACTTTGGAATAATTTAAAACGCAAATAAGGACAGTCAAGCATGAAACATGTGTTAACAAAAGGAAGCCATTGTTTAGTTCTTTTTTCTTTTCCAATTCCAATGAGCTAGCCTAGGAAAAATTTTAACTTTTCTTTTCAACAAGGAAAGGTTTGAGTGTGGTTGAATTAGTTCATATGAAAAATACCTCCATTTGAAGAAGTGTCTCCACCTTTTCAAGAATAAAATCTCTGATATAGCTCTATGAAAAGTGAAATAAAATAACACCTTATAATTTCTTTGGATACCTCTTAATTTTTAATCTCAATTTCATTTAAAATAATCCACTCTTAAGAACATAATGTGTTTCATATATGAGACTCTAATAAAAGGACTCAATTTAAATAATTTAAAAAAATATGAGATTTCAATCAAAATAATTTAAAGAATACATAGATTAAATTATTATTATTATTATGTTTTTGTGATTTTAAGATCTCATCTTGAAAGTTCTGAAACGTGTCATATTAGACTTCATCACAAGTAAAACTCATTAAAGTATTTTTAAAATTATTATAACAATTTTAAAAATAAAATAGATACAAAATGAACCTAACATTCAATTAAAAATATATAAATATATAAATATACATCAAAATTAAAATTAAAATAATAATAATGCTAACTAATAGCTAATTATCTATATCAAAGAAGAAAATATGAACATTTTTTTTTAAGAGAACAACCCTATTTTTTACTTTAAATTGGTCAAATATTCATAATTTCTTCTTTTTTTTATGGAGGATTAGATTAATTAATTAGGAGTATGTGACTAATCGATATTGCACATCATCATATTTTTATTTTAATAATTTTATGTTAGGTTTTTTTTCTTTATTTATGTATTTTTTATTATTTTTAACTTATTACAATGATATTAAAAAAAAACATTTGAGATTTGTACTCTAATGGGGTCTCACATATGACACATTTTATGTATTTATTATGATGTTTAAAAAAATTTAAAAAAAAAAGAAAAATATATATAATTTGGTCTCTCCCCCTTTGAATTGGTTTAATTAAAGTCTCATACTTTTTGAATTGTTTTGATTGAGTCTCTCTATTTGGGTCTCACATATGAAACATATCACGTTTTCAAGAATGGATATGCCACATCAACTCAAAACCAACGGCATTATAATGGTGAAATGAAAAAAAAAAAACAAAATAAAGAATAGAATGACTCAATCAACGTAAAAAAAAAAGGTATAGTCTCAATCAAAACTATTCAAAAAATAAAGTAACCATCTATAGAAAAAAACCACCCTTCATATTTAAGAAAAATTATTACATATATTGTTAGCACCTACTTTTTACCCCCAAGTAATTTAATTGATTTATGAGTTAAAAAAGAATATATACAATACAAAAATGAGAAAAGAAAAAGAAAAGAAAAGAGTTATTTGAAAAAAAAATGATTTTTGGGTACGAGTTGAAGAAAATTAAAAGAAAAATCTTGATTGATTTCAATTAAGGGTCTGTAATTAAAATACAAGCAAATAAAATGATACCAAAATCAAACATTGGGAGAAACAAGGACCAAAAATAGTGTTTTCCCAAAATCATAATTTTTTCCTATAAATATCCAACTCCTTCAACCATTAAAGGAGGACACGAATTCCAAAAAACAAAAAACCTAAAAAAAAAAACCAAGCCAAACAACTCCTAAGGAAGTAGCGAGACTCGGATTATTGACCCGTCGACACTTCTCTTTCCAAATATGCCATACTCTAGCTGATATCTCTTCCAAACACCACCACTAATCGATAACCCACACCAAGATTCATCATTCTCGATTAGCTAGAGAAAGAGGAGACATCGAGTTGGCTAGAATTGAGGAGAGAAGGTCAACGACCCGACTCATTTAACTATCCAGCCAAATCTCTCAATTTTAGGCAAACTACCAACTTCCACTCGCCACAAAACTATTCCTCATCCTCTTAGAGGTGTTTTCCCCTAAAATCACAACTCAATGTCATCAAAATAAGTCTAATTAATGGTGAACATGCATCCCGACTCGTTTGATAAAATTCGATCAAATTGATCGATCAAGGCCAAATCAAACTCACACAACAATCAAGAAATATTCCCCACTTGAATCTAACCAAAACCCCTCAAAAACCCGATTGAAAAACACATAAAATCACTAGTAATTGAAAGAGAGAAGTTCGAATGACCCGTTTTCTTCTCTCTCGAGTTTGGTCATTTTTCAACCAAATAAGAAGCCATCGCCACTAGAGAAGTTTCTCTTACCATCCCGGGAGCATTTTCCCTTTAAAATTCCGATGTAATATTGCCAAAAATCAACCGATTTAGAGGAGAGAAGATTCAATTGACCTATTTAGCCTATTTACTTTGATCGGTTTCTACCTTCACTTTCCAGCCAAATTACTTCGATTAAAGGCTAAAGAAACTTCTAATCATTCCTAGGAACATTTCTAGGTAGATTTTGAGCCTCAAAACTAATCATCCTCATTAGAATCTAAGAGAGTAGAAAAGAGAGATTTGGTTAAAACTTCAAGGTCGTTGATCTACCTTCTCCGTTAATGGCGACTAGTGCCATCACCACAAACAAGTAGACTAGGCCTCCCTTTATCATGTAAACCCTTTCACACATCGGCCGAGCAACGAGTTGATGATGACTAGACAGTGGCAACGTGTGTAACCATATTCTAAGAGCATTTTTATAATTTTATGTACATAGGCATTTGGTCTTTTTATAACTAACCAAGGGCATTTTAGTTGTCATACAATAGCCTTTTTGACACTCATAAATAGTTGTTTCTTTTTTATAGAGCTGATTGAAATATGTAGTCTTCATCGGGATTGAAGGACTTAAAATTAATCCAAGAGAGGGACTCGTAATAGTTTCACGATATTTGGATAACTTTTGAACTTACCTAAATTATTTAAAATGATAAATGATGTAAATATTACATTGTGAATGATTGATCCGCCAAATCCTCTATTCAATTATGCTTAAGATTTTTGCCTCCCGTCTATTTACCAAAATGTAGTCATCAATGGCTTTCTACTTATGTGGTCAAAGTTGTCCGTAGCTTCAAAATCAATTAACTTTTTTTTTGTCTAAATTGAAGTCGTCAATGGCTTCCTACTTATATGGTTTTGAAACTATCTACAGACTTTCAAATCAATATTCTTCGTTGTCCGTTTATCTAAATTAAAGCTATCGGTGACTTCCTACTTATGTGATCGAAGCTACCTATGGCTTCCAAATCAATTTACATGTTTGTTAATTTTTCTAAAATGTAGCTACCAATGGCTTCTTACTTATGTGACAAAGCCACCAATAGTTTCAAAGTTATTTTACCTATTTTTTATTAGTTGGAATATAGCTACCAATGGCTTCTCACCTATATGATGAAGTCACCGGTGACTTCTAAACTAGTTATTTACTCCTTGCTCGAGTGAAATGAAGTTGTCGGTAGCTTCCTAAATTCATGATTTGAAGTTGACGGTGGCTTTCCTATTTAAGTGAGTAAAGTTATCGATGACTTGTTATTCATGTTAATAAACACTCTTAATCTTTGGAAACTCACTTACTTATCGGTATAGAGAATATTGGCTAAAGATTAGCCAAAATTCCAATCTTTCCTATTTTTAGCCTTTAAGTATAGATACTAGCCTTAGATTGGCCCAAACCCTAAATTACTCTACCATTTTATCCCAACTTAATAAATTCATTTAAATAGGCATAAAAATATAATATAGTAAAACCAAACTTTTATTTTCACATGCAAATAAATCTAGTCTACCTCGGATAGGATGGGATGACAATGATGTTATATCTTTCTCATATGTAACCGACCCCTTACCGAGATATCTATACACACCGGTATGTGTAGGATTTTTAGTTTTCTCGATTAGTTAGGTAGCAATTCCTATTTCCCATGCATTCTCTCACAAGCTCACGTCGATAGAATTGATGACTCTATTGGGGATAATACCATGTTAGGGTCTATCTTTGAATGTTTATGTTAATAAATCTCTCGGTTGTTTATTATGCTCATATGACTACATGTTTTGAACGAATGATTTGCCTTTTGATTGTGTATCTATTTTCGTGTGTTATGAAAATATGTTTGTGAATATATCTCGTTGCTTGTATTGTTTTCTCTTATAGCTTTTTAGTTGTTTAAGTCTTGGTATTTAGTTTAATATTTGAGACTAGACATGGGTTCATGCCCTCACACACAACACTATACATATTATCTGTCTCACACACTTGCTTTTGGATTTAGGAAGGAATTATTGGTGCCCCGATGGGTTTCACCCGGGTAACATTCACAAAACCTCAATTCTTTTAGAAAGTTATAGTTATCATGATAGGTAACCGATGACTCCATGGTTACCACCTTCGCACTTGCCGACCTCGGTTCTCCTTGGCCAAAAAAGACCTTGTTTGAGCTTAGATAAATTATACCCACTCGCGTAATAGCTAAACACAAACCTTATTATCATCTTTCCTATATAAATTTACTAGGCAAGTCGGATGTATTTAAACCTTAATCGAACAATTTAGTTATGAATGTTTCTAGATGGGTGATAAAAGGATTCAAGTCTAAATTTATACAATGTTCGAATATTAAAGAAATTTCATAGCTTGATTAGAATATGTTAAAGGTTACCGATGGAATACAACTCCATCTTTAAACCAATTAACAACAGAGCAATCCATCATGTCGAGTTTTCGAAGGTTACCGATAAAATTTAAGTTCATCTTTAAAACAACATGAGTCGACAAAAGAGGATCAAAGAATCATCGACCGAATTCTCTTATCATCCCCATGTGAAAGCTACTCCATATGCGATCTCGAATGTCTTATTTATGTTAGAATATTATATATACGAAGCATAAGTCATCTTGTCAAAACTGTATTTTTCTCTAAATATTGACAACTCAAGCCAAAGTAAAAAAGGACAATGAAGGAAGGGCTCAAATTGAGCAAAGCCATCAAAAGGAGTTAAGTGTTTTGAAAGCAAAAGTGTCTAGTCGGCTATTTTACTTGAGCAAAATTCACAAACTCGAGCATCTATCGAAGTGCCTCTTAGTAAAAAAAAATAGGCTAATTATTTGTTACTCCCGAGGTGTTCATTGTCATATCGATACCGGCTATTTGAGTAGCAATTTCTATGCGAACTTTTTTCATTCCCCACCCAAAGGTTATTAGCAAGTCACACTATACTTGGAGGCATGTATGAGCCAACCCATCTTGAAGTTTCTAGTCCGATTCCACGATAGTCACATGCTTTGCAAAATCGAGCAACTCCTATGGTGTAACTGCTAATGAAAAGATGAAAGAAAAAATTATCTCAAAGACTAAAATTGGGAAGCTTAGTGCTATTAAAGAATGTCTCGTAGCTATTAAGGGCATGGACATGTACGACCCTTTTTTTATGGTGGACAGATGTTTGATTCGAATGTCATGATTCCTAAGAAGTTCAAAGTGCCTAAATTCTCTAAATACACTAGAAGTCAATGTCCAAGAACTCATCTTAAGGTTTACTTAAACAAGATAACCAAAGTTGCTTATGATGAAAAGCTTTTGATTCACATCTTTTTTGAAATTCTCAATGATGCCACTCGAATTTATTCATCGATCTTGATTTTAAAAAAAAGATAAAAAAAAATAGCTTATGAAGTAGAGGGATCTAGTTGAAGTATTCATGAATTACTATAAGTTCAACATGAAAATAGCTCCCGATAGGTCCAACTTCGTAGTTTATGAAAAAATGCTTGAAAGAATCTGTGAGAGAGAATATGCTCGAGTAGTGGCGTGAAATGGCATCCCAAATTTGCTCGTCTCCGTTTGAGAAAGTGCTAGCTATTCTTTTGGTAAATACCTTTAAAACACTCTATTATAATTACTTATTGAGTAATGGATCAAACAGTTTTGTCGAGATAGTTTTTATGGCTAATAGAATTGAGCAAGCAATCAAGTTAGAACGAATAACCGATCTTTCCAAATCCGAGTCAAAGGAGAATAATTTTAGTAAAAGAAGTGGCATCAATATTCGCTAGATTAAGGAATCTACTCTCAATCCAAACAATCATCCGAATCATTCTCATCTATCACGGACTTTTATAACAATAATTGAAATAAATTTCTTACTATATAAAAATATTTAATTTTGGACCATCGTTATGTTCACAAATATATTGATGAATTTTTCAAAAAACAATTCGAATTGAATTCACTCTATATTAATTATTATGAATTTTTATTATTTTCCATGGAAAAATTGATAATAAATATTTCTAAATCCCTTAGAATAATTTTAATTTACAAACAATTTTACACCAAAAACGATAGTTTAGTGTAGTGGTCTTAAGCACTAGTTTAAGTCATTTAAACTTGGAGGGTGTGGTTTAATTTCCACATTGTCAAAATTTTGGTTTTTGTTTTTTGTTTTTTTTTTATTAATTTTTTTTTTTGTGTGTATTAATCTTAAAAGTCATAACATTATAATCAAATAAATATTTTTAGATGTTTTAAACTAAAATAATAGGTTGGTCTATTAGTCTTAAGTATCAGTTTAAGAATTTAGACTTAGAGGTTATGAGTTCCATTTTTATGATTGTTAAAATATGGTTTCTTTGAGTATTAATTTTAAAATTCATAATATTTCATTCAATTCTCATAGTTGTTAAAATTTGGTTTTTTTTATTATTTTAAAATTCACAATATTTCCTACCAAGAAGGTATAAATTTCAGTATTCCCAAAGTTGTTAAAATTTGTTTTTTTTTTTTTGTGTATTAATTTTAAAATTTATAATATTTTCTATTAAAAAAAAAAGCATATAAATTTCAATACTGACAAGCATTCTAACATGATTAAAAGTTATTTCATACATGGATAATATAATTTTCAATACTGACGCATTTTAAGAATTATCTCAGTAGCAAGCATTCTAACATAATTAAAAATTATCACATACATAGATAATTCAAGAACATGCATTCTAAAAATTATTTCAGAAAAAAACTATTATACATAGATAATTTAAAAATACATTTAATCATGAAAACTACTCAAGAGACATACTAATGTAATAAAATATATAAATAAAAATGTAAATAACAAGCCTAGGATCCATATCTATTCTGTTATCTGTTTTCTCTATGTTTTTTTTTTTTTTTATCTTTTATTCCTAATACATATTTATATGGGAGTTTAAGGGGATAATTTCTCCTGCAACTACACAATAGTTGCTTTTGTTTTTGTTTTTTTAATAATTTTATTGTGGAATGAACTCGTCATAACGACCGGATCCAAATCTATTTTTCTAACAACTATACTAAAAAGTGGGAAGAACACAAAAAAATATTCCCTTTAACTAAAAAAATAAGATATTCTACATTTTTTATTATAAAATAAAAATGATTTCTATTTTTTTTTCTGCAAGGTAAAAAAGATGTAGATGGAAAGGTGCTTTTTTTTTTTTTTTTAGTGTTTAGTTAGGGTTCTATGTAATAAAACCGTTAGTTAATGTTGTGATACCTGTTAACCAGGCCCTTAAAAAACATTTTTTATAGATTTGATTTATATGACTACCCCAATAGCCCAAAGATATTAGGATCACTGTATTTATGAGTAAAAAAATCCATGTAATGAAGCACACTTCTAGTTTTAAATTTTTTCTCCAATTCCCACTGTTTTCAAAAAAAAAAATTAATTAAATGTCTTTGTTCTAAAAATTAATTATTTAATTAATTATACTTAATTTAATATTATATTTATCAGCAAAAAAATGTTATTTTTTCATCAATGTTTTACTTATTTTTATTTTTTATTTTTTTAAAAAACAAAAATAAATTAAAAAAGAATAAAAATGATTAAGTTATAAAAAAAATTAAAATATAAAAACTTAATAATTAGTTTTCGAAGCAATAAAAACAATTTAATTCATTTCTTGAAACTAGTAGGAATAATTTATAATTTACTCTAACTAACTGTGGAAGAGCAATTCTCAACAAAAAAAAAAGGTACATTAATTAGTTGAACATATTTAATTTAAGATTCTTTTATTTAAAAATAATATTTTCTCATCAATTTTTTAAAAATTTTACTTATTTTTTATTTCTTAAGAAAATTAAATAATATATAAAGATTAAATAATTAGTTCTTGAAAAAAAAATAATCAATTTATTTTTAAAACTAAAGAAGCTAATTTATAATTTGCTATAACTAACTGTGTAAGAGTAATTCAAAAAAAAAAAGTGTAATAGTAATTTTTTTTTCCTTTTTTGTTTTTTAACAACCGTCACTTTCTATCTTTTCTGAAAAGGAAATCACAAGGAAAAAACACACACGAAAACAAAAGTCAATAACTTAATCCTTAATCTCTCCTTGCAAGAGTAAATTATAGGTTAGTCTCTCTAGTATTTCAAAAGAAATCAAACAGTTCTTATAATTTCAATATCTAATTAATTAATTCTTATATTTATAACTTTTTCCCTTTCATTCCCTTTTTAATTTTTAATTTTATTTTTATAAATAGAAAAGAATGTAATAATATGAAAAGATGGTTGGAAAAAATATTTAATAGAAGAAAATAATATTAAATTAACTACAATCAATACTGACTAAGGATTAATTAATTAATGTTTATCACTAAAAGAACTATTTAATTATTTTTGTAAAACTAGAAGAACAAATTTATAATTTACTCGACCTCACAGGTATCTCTTCTTCTTCACCCTCTCCCTCTCTTACAAGCGTTTACCAACAAAGTACGAACGTACATACATAAACCAAAGTAAACCCAACACAAACCTTGAATATAAAAACAATCCTTTAACAAACACACCAAAACCTAATGGAAGCGAAGATCAGAGAGGTCTTCGAGTCCGTCGGTTCCTTCTTCACCGGCGGTGATCATATCCCATGGTGCGAACGTGACATCATTAATGTAAGTACAATTGTGGGTTCTTGGATTTTTGTCATTAATCAGTTGAGGCATGAAAATTTATTCAAAGTTGTTAATTTTAAGATATATAGACTCAGATTTCATTTTTTTACCCATGTTAGACTGTATAATTATGTTGTAGTTTAGGGAATTTTTGGTATTTTTAATATTTTATGAGAGAAAGATTAAAACTTGGTGATGCTTTTTGAAGATTTTTGCATAGATCGGTGATTGATGTTGAATAGAGAGGAATTCGAGGAAAGAGTGAAAATTTTAAGATAGAGAATGAAGGTTTCCACCCCCCCCCTAAGAAATAAAATTAGTTGTAATGGAAATCAATTTTCTAAAATATAGATCCCATCGGGAGCTGATTCGTTTTTCTTTATTGTATGGTCTTTGTACCCCTTCAAGACCCTCAGTTTTGTCTTATTGGTTTTGGAGACATTTCTTATCAAGTTGTCTAAATTATCCAATTTTGTGTGATTGACAGTTTGTGTATTAGTGTCATTTTTTTGTGGGAATGGAATTATGTTATACTGTTTTTCCCCCGCTACTTGTTCACCTGAAATAGGATTCGATAACTTAAGTATCCTAGTTTGCTAAAGAAGTTCTGTAAGAGTTACGTTTAGTCCGAGAAATGCAAATTTTATTAATACAAATTGGAAAGTGAGAGTTGGAATGCGTTTTCTCTGGATGTATGTGTGTTTCATTTTGTCTCAAGTCTTAGCTTTTATTCTAGCTTTGCTGTTTAGAAAATAATGGTGGACTTATAGGTTTTTGCAAGCGGTGACTTGATAGTTTATTTCACTTTTCCATGATTTTGTATTTTGGTTAACACTGCTCTTTTTTATGCCAGGGCTGTGAGAGGGAGGTTGCAGAAGCTGCTGAGGGTGACTCAGAGGAACTTAAAAGGGATAGCATTATGCGATTGTCATGGGCTCTTGTTCACTCTAAACAACCAGAAGACGTGCAGCGTGGGATAGCTATGCTTGAAGGTGAGCGACATAAATTTTCTTATTTGTATCTTAATGCATCAACTTCATCATACTTTTGCCATCATGTAGGACAAATTAGATAAAGTTGCTCCTTGTGTTTCGAAGCAGAGTAGGTTATGTTGGGGATTTTTGGGGTTAATTGGTTCAAAATGTGCTACTTGTTTGGATTGAACATGTTTGGAGTATAGTGAAGTTTATGGCAAGTAGTTGATGATTTGAAACAGATCGAACTTCAGGTTTTCTACAGCGGCTAAATATTGAAAGGTGTTGTTTGCTTCAAAAGGCTTAATTAGTGAGGAAAGCATTGGATAGGCATGCATGGTGATTGGAGAAAACGGATTGCATTCTACTGTGTAATATAGGGTTCTTGTTTTCTTCAAAATTTTTGGCAGCTTATCTGGGGTATGTATTTTCAGGCAAAATCCTCACTAGTTTCTGAGGGTTAACAGATTGCCTTGTCAGCCACCATGTTTATGTCAGCACTTTTTTATTCTGCTTCACGACATATTCCCCATTGTTGTAAGAATTCAAATCAGTAGTCTTATGGTGATTGTGTTCCTACTGAAATTTTTAAAATCATTGAGGAGTTCCGTTGCTTGCTACCACAGTTTTGCAGATGATGGAATTTTATTTAGCATCATCTTTCTTCATTTGGTATCTCCATAAGAAAATGAAAATGTTATTTTCATGAACTAGCCAACCATAGCAGGAATATTGGAGAATTTTTTTCTTAAAAAGAAGGAAATGTTTAAAGAATAGAAGATAGAGAAAATCAAGGGCATGAAATTGAGCCCCCCTTGTGTGGTTTTATTGTAATTGATGAACTGACAGTCCTTTATATGCCAAAATTCCTCAACTTTCATGTAATCGCTTCTCCTTGTGAGGAAATTCCCTCTCTAAGTTTTATTTGTTCTCTTTTAATTTCTATATATTTATTTATAATTTGCATGCTCTTTGTTGAAACAAATGCCGTGTTATTTGCAGCATCATTGGCAACTAGTAGCCCCCTTTGCAGCAGAGAGAGAAGATTTATCTTCTAGCCGTGGGATATTACAGAAGTGGTGACTATGCAAGGAGCAGGCACCTGGTGGACCAATGTTTGGAGGTCTCTTGTGTTTGTGTATGCGTGCATGCTGTTTTCTTTTTGTTTTTGGTTCGTTATTCTGAGTTGCAACTTGCTGTAGATGGCACCTGATTGGAGGCAAGCTTTGGCCCTGAGGAAGACACTTGAAGATCGAATTGCTAAAGGTATGCTCATGCCTTGAACTTTCTCACTCTCATTATAGCATTAGTCTGAATAATTTCAAAGCTAATGTGTTTGTCAAAATGCAGATGGTGTTATTGGAATAGGCATCACTGCTACTGCTGTGGGACTGATAGCTGGTGGAATTGCTGCAGCTTTCGCTCGCAAGAAATGATTACTCCAAATCCCAACAATGTGCATAACAAACTTGCTTTTCAAAAAAAAAAAAAAAGGTGCTGCTTCTGTCGTTTTGAACTTTTTAAATAATTCCATATGGTGAACTGTGGTATCACTCAGTTATTTCTATGTTACAACTGTTATATTGTTTGTAGACATTAGCATTACCTAAAGAGGAGGCTTGAGCTATGAGTTGGTTGTACCATATCGTCATATTTGAATCAATAACTCTTTGTAACTAGATTCTAGTATTTGCTATAACAGCAGCCTTGACAATTTTGAATTTGCCAAAGTGTGTGTGTGAACTTGTAGTTCGTGTAACATACGGCAACAACAGGATGGAAGAAATCTGTATTGATCTTCATTGTTTCTTGTCTGTCTTTGTTAGCATGCCGGTCCATCTTTGTATTAGTTAATTACTATAATGAGAAAGGTAGGAGGTGTTTGATAACGTATTTAAGTAGTTTAAAAAATTAAGTTGTAGTGTTTAATATAAAAAGCTTATTTGATAATCTAAATAATCTTATATTTAAAATTTAAATTTAGTCAAAATTTACATAATTAAGTCAGTTGAAGTTTTTAGCTTAAAATTTTATTTATTTACACGTTCAGTTGAAAGATTTTTAAAGCTTTTTAAAAATGATTATATAGTCTTCATATATTCTTGCAATCCTAGTTATACAAACTGATTGAAAACTATTATTCTTATTGTCGAAACAGAGGAGTACTTGATATAAATTTTTTTTTTCTTTTTGACTTTAATAAACTATGATATTATGCAGTGCTGTGATTTTTTTTAACAGTCTAGAACCCCATGTACCCGATGTAGGCAAAATTTAGCAGCTCAATATGACATTTCCTGACTGCTCAATACCATTACATCAAAAAGAGTCAAGTTTGGTTTTGCAAATATCTGAAGACTAATGAAAATTTTAACCCAATTAAAGGATAGTCAAGTTTTCTATTTGACAGTTTAGTATTGCATTTCTCTAGTTTCAGACAAGTTGCTGCGAGACTTGATAATCTATGATGCCAGATGATCCACCAAACATTCATTTTTTCGAAAAACTCAAGTGCTTTGGGTCAATCTCATCCACTTGAATTAGTATTATCTGACCATTCTCTTCATCACTCCATATGATTGATTCTTTCTCCAGTTGTTTCATAATCAGTGTTTTCTGTTAGCAACACCTTTTGATGACAAACTTAAGCAGAAAACAAGAGGATATGAATATTTATTTATTTATTTATACACACAAACACATCCAATGTATATATTTTATTTGTGTTAAAAAATATAAGTTAAATTTGTTATGTATATAACATTAATATGTTTAAGAACAGTACTTATTAAACCATTTTATTATATTCAATAATAAAATTTCAATAAATATCAAACAGCATGTCAATAACATATTTAGTATTTAATTATTTAAAACTTAAAATTCAGTACTTAACAAATTCAGCAGTTAATTTTCGATTTTATCAAACATCATCGTAGCTTCATTTGATTGATTGAGGGGATTAGAAATTGGGTGGTTACCAACTCCTTGAATCGTTGATCACATGATCTGCTTCCATAGCTAATAATGCAGGTTTTTTTTTTTGGGATAAGTCCATTGGACATTGGTTTTTATAATAATAATACTAATAATTGCCCTGGAGGCCGGAAGAATTTATGGCAAACTTTTTGGGATGTTAAAATCAACCTTTAACCAATGCTCCTTTTAACCTGCAGGTTTCTTTTTCACTCCTTTATTGGTCGATTGTAGAATTATATTTCTTTGACAGTTTTATGCTAATGGCCCATGTTACAAAATTATTGTACGAACTAATTTTGGTCCATGTTACAAAATTATCGCATGTGCTGCAAGCCAATATCTTTTATAAATAACCAAATAGCGATGGCAATTTACCTCTCTCTAACTTGGTCTTGCCCCTCTCTAGCTAGATCAACGTAGAGATTCTCTGAACTGATTGGGAAACAGGACGGGGCGTCTCGCTCTGCATTAATTAGAACGAGGATGAGACGAGAATGATATTTGCATATCTCGTCTCGTCTTTTCCTTTGAAAATTATAATTATACCCAATCTATATATAAACTCTGATAATACAAACTAATATTCAATATAATGAGTGAGTTTTGATGATCTCTAAGCAGTAAAAACATACAAGGATTTATATTTGTTAATTGTATTTGTGATATTTCATCAATTTAATTAAATAAGATATTTATTCGATTAAAAATAATTGAATATATTATGAATTATATTATAAATTTATAATTACATATTATATTAAATTATTATTTTTTTAATTATTTTTTTACATGAATTATTATCTTTTTATTATAGTTTAAAATTTGATATAAAATTATATGAGATATAACATAGCAGGACATAAAGAATTAGACGAACTAATGCTCGGTGGGTATTCCCGTCCCCAATAGGGAGGGGCTGATAGGGAAAATGCGCCAGGCATGGGACAGGGACGCGATGGAGTTTTCTAAGAGCGGGACCCCACTCCAATGCCTTTCCTATCACCAAACTAGATTCTGAAAAATTAATTGGCTAAAATCCCACATTTGGTCATCCTACTTTGTACATTTGGTCAAATGAAATCGTCTACTTCAGATTGCCCCAAATCAACCCCTTTTACTTTCAATTAAATATGATATGTGATCCTTCGTCCAATTATATTATAACCCACATCACTCGACGATTCACCGTTTAATTAGTACTTTCTATGTTTCAAAGAGATTGCTCCATTTTCTATTTATATATATTCAAAAATATTTATCTCATCAAATTTTTAAATAATGTTTTCTTTAAAATACTCTTAATTGATAAAAAATAAAAATTTATTATTTCTTTTATTTCATATTCTTCACTAATAAAAAATCAATATTCTTTATACTTTACTTATACATATAAATACCTTTAACATAAAAATTTGAAACGATAATTTTTTATTACATGAAAAATATTCATTCTTACTCTTGCCAAATTTTTTGAAGTAAAATATTTCTATTAGTATGTTATTTTCTATAATTATTTTAAATTTGATTGTTAATTAACTTACTGATTTTTTTTATTCATTTATCATTTTAATTTTGCATAGATGTTCTCTTTAAATTAATATCGGTTCATGATTAAATTTTATAACTAATAATTTTAACAAAAAAGGATATTTTTAAAAAAGTATAAATAATAAATATTGACATGACATAACAATTAATAGTCTTTTTAAATAATGTAAAAAAAGTCAAAGATGAGAATCTTTTTGGGATAAAAAAAGGAGTAATAAAGTCAAATTAAGGAGCTAATACCCCTTTTTATTGTAAATAAAAGAGTTGATTTGATCCAATTTAACATAAAAGGTTTGATATGATCACAGGTAACAAAGATGCATGTTTTTTTTTTTTTTTTTTTTTTTTGGGGGCAAGATGAGACACAATTTAGAGATTGCACGTGTGTTGCTAGGTATTTAAGGATTTCTTTTTACCTTTTTTTTTCAAATGTATAAAGGGTTCAAGAGCAATAAAGTGGGCATGACATGACAATGACTTCACAGGCTCAACCTCACACTGCAACAAATGAATCATGGTCTGGTCTGTGCAATTATGCTTATTGGCTATGGTGGCCCAGCAAATTTATTATTTGTCCATTTCAAACTTGTTTGTTAGGGTACATGTCATGACTATAGTCTTCACACACAGAGACAGATTTAGATCCATTATATATTTGGACAAATGCTGTTTTTGTTCATGATTTTCTTTTCCTGAGTCCTGACTCGTGAAATTTCTTTCACAAAATTTAGAGATGAAACTTGACTTGGCCTAGCAATCAAATTGTGTTACTTCTGGTAATTGCTTCTCAGGGCAAATAATATCTTCAAGAGGTCAATTATTCAAGAACTTTGCTTTTGATGATTTGACACCAATGTTTCTGTTTACCGGAATAGTATTTGGGCCAAGGTTCCCACCGGTTTTGAATTGAGTCCCTGTTTTCTCCGGTTTTTCAATGCCACTAAAAGAAAAACAAGAACAATAATTACAAAATAAATAAAAATTACTAAAATAATATAAACTGGCTGCGAAAAAGGCACCAATGCTTTCATTGACACTTCCGGTACTCCATTCAAACCAACGTAGTAAGGTTAGTCTTTTGAAGTTGTATTTTTGTGTTGATATATAAAGTATATATAAGAGAAGTAATTAAAGACATGTTTTTTTTTTTTCACTTTATTAGTTTGTATATTACTTACGGTCGCTTGTCACAACTTATGCATACATAGAATTAACAAGTGTGTAATATTATGCACTACAAAAGAAAAACGGATCGCATATACAACTGACATTAATTAGATATAATTTTAAAATACTATTTGCTTTATGGACTTATTAGTTTTTTTTTACCTATGCTACTTTGTGAAGTGGATATAATACATAAAATATTTTTAAAAAATTATTTTAGTTTGATGTCTTATGTTATATTGTATATCTAATAAAGTATATCAAATTAAAACTGAATAAAAATTTATTCAATTTTTTAATTTTTTAATCAAAATTTTGAATTTAACTAATTATTCTTTATATTTTCATAGTTTTTTATTAAAAATATTGTTTATTTATCTCTATCGACATTTTTAGCTAAAAACTTATTTTATAAATTATTTTTTCTCAACATCTTTTTACCTTGAAATTTTTCATTAAAAAAATCAGAGGAAAAAAAAAGCAAGAACCAAAGTGATCAAAATGAAACAAAAAAAAAAACCAAAATAGAAAAAATTGTGGACTGAAAAAATAATGTTTTTAAAAAAGGTAATATCACGAAAACTTGCATAGTAAATGTCTTGAAAAAGCTTTAAAAAAAAAAACAGCCAATGCATAGTGAAAAAAATAGTACATACGAATATGGATGAATAGTATTTAGAACAATGCCAATGAATAATAAATTACTGTTTCAGATTTTTTTTTATTTTAAAGAGTGATATAGATACAATTTTTTTTTATCACATCAGAATATAGTGATAAAAATACTTAAGTTTATTTTTTTATTTTAATTTGTGTTTTAACCTCTTTAAATTTTATTTTTTTTAACGTTTAGTCCATCTTACGATTTTCAGCTATCTCCTCTCTCTCCTCTAAAAAAAATGAATTATTGATATTTTGATCTGAATTTTTACCCACATGTTAGTAAAAGTCCAATATATATATATATATTTAGAATTTTTCAATATCAAAATTATCTTTGTTTATTTTTTGAATATTAAAAATAAAAAAATAAAAATAATGTGAAATGATCTTAAATTTTTTGGAGAGTTTCGGATAAATTTTAATGAATGATTTTCATTATAGAGATATTTATGTAATTGTTATTTTTTGAAATAAATGACAGAGAATTAAAAGATGGACTAATTTAAAAAAAAAATTCAGAAAAGTCAAAACATAAATTAAAAATTTAGAAATTGATTTTTAAAGAACCTAAAATGGAGAGGTTTGGCTATTTGAGCCAAATATCAATAGCTACAAACAATGGTAAGAATGTTTTTTTTTTTTTTTTCCTAAGGTGAAAGGAAGAAACAGCAAAGGTCATCTTATTTCTCTAGGTGGGAATCGAAACATATTGGAGATTTATGGTTTTGGTGGAAATAAAAAATAGGGATTCTGTTTTGGTGGGAATAAAAAGAAATATGGTTATTTTAGTCATAAAAATAATTTATTAAGAATATCAGTTGCTAATTAATTAATACTAAAATTTGATTTATTTTTTTCCTTAACTAAAGCTAAATAAAAATGGAAGTTCATCAATGCAATGGATCGTGTTTAACAAGACACCATTAGCTTTTGTCATCAATGCAATTGAAATCATAAGACATGATTATGATGTGGAAAATACGTTTTTCCATTTTTTTTTTTCTTTCAAGGCAAACTGAATGTGAAAAAGACTCGTTAGTTTTTATTTTTTATTTTTTTTTATTGGAGATTAAAATTACCATAAATCTTATCAACTGTTAAATATTACCAAGAATCATGGCTGCCTAATATAAATCTTATCGTTTGATTCAAATATCATTTCCTCATAATATTGCACCTAATCTGACGAAATCCAACTTTAAGAACAGCAAACACTTCATCTTTCATCAATTCAAAGAAAATTCCAAATCCCCTTTTCCAACCCCAAAACAGCATTAATGGCATCTATCTTCCTCATCCAACTCACTTGATAGCTCTATTTCACCTGCACGCACACTCTTATCACCTTCTCATACCCACAAGCCCAAAAAGCAATAGTGAGACCCGGAAAAAAAGCGAAAGCTCTCCAACAAGCAAAAACTAAACCAAAAAGTTGAGTAAACAAGAAAAGAAGCAAAAAAGTAGCTTTTACAGAGACAAAGGCATCCATTTCTCTCCATGGGCTGTTCTGCTTCAAGACCAAATACCTTCCTCACGAAGCACCACCATCCTGAAGAAACCTTATCTTATGTTTCTCCTTCTAAAGATGACTCCATGTTTTCTCCACAACATTCTTCACCATCCGTCACTAGAGCTCTCTCTCTTCAAACCCCATTAGTCCACCACCCACCTTCAAGAAAAGGTGACTCTCATCACCTTGTGTCTCTAATTTCCTCCACTTATGGCTCTCTTGTCCTCATTGACCCCAAAATGAACACCCATGAGTCCTTTGATCAGCCACAGTCACCAAGAAAATCTACCAAGAAGATACATAAAACACAAAATAATCAAGACCCTTGTGAGTCTTTATCCCCTGACTCTGTCATTAACACTTGGGAGCTCATGGATGGTCTCGATGAGGACGGTGGCTTTGATTTTGAAATTAATAACTCTTTTAAGCCAAGATCATCACTTTCTGATCATTCTATTGAGTTTGTCTCCAAAGCCAAATCTTTTCATCATCTGGGTTCTGATAGGTGTGTCAAAAAGCTGCATGATTCTTTTGATTCAGTGAAGTTTGAAGAAATAGTTGCTGAAAAGCCAGTTTCAATGTCAAAGCCATTATGGAAGCTTTTGTCTGAGGAATCATTGCTTTCAAAGATGGATCCTAATGTGGCTTCAAGTTATATGCGTGCATTATCATCAAGGCAATTGGGCTGTAACAAAGAGTCCAAGGATGCAACACCAGTGAATTCTAGTCCCATGAGTGGTACCTTATCAAGCAAAAAAGGGAATTTTTTAAATGATAAAGAAGGCAAAATTGTTCTGTATTTTACAAGTTTGAGAGGAATAAGAAAGACATTTGAGGATTGTTGTGCGGTGAGAATGATATTCAGAGGTTTCAGAGTTGCAGTTGAGGAAAGAGATATTTCAATGGATTATACATATAGAAAAGAGCTGCAAAGTTTGCTAAAAGGGAAAGTAATGAGCTTGCCACAAGTTTTTATTAGAGGAAATCATATTGGTGGGGTGGAGGAAATCAGGCAGCTAAATGAGACTGGTGAATTGGCAAAGTTTTTTGAAGGTTTTCCCGTTCAAGATCCTAGGTTGGTTTGTCAGACTTGTGGAGATGCAAGGTTTGTGCCATGTCCAAATTGTAATGGAAGTAAGAAAGTGTTTGATGAAGAAGAAGAGCAACTGAGAAGGTGCCCAGAATGCAACGAGAATGGTTTGATCCGTTGCCCTGGTTGCTGCACATAGATTATGCTTACAATGCTTCATTTTGGTGCTTGCCTGCAAAATTGCAACTTTATCTTACTATTGGGATTACTAATGCCATTGAAAATTGCTTATTTTCATGATAATTTTTATCTTGTTACTATATTTGTTAAAGCTCTTGGCTATAATTCCTCATTATCTCTTTAAAAAGGATGCAATAAGAATCAACATTTTTTGTGCTTGTTCTTTGTTGATTTTAGTTATTGTAATCCTCTCTCTCTCTTTTGTAGAATATCCAGCTCATACTTGGTAACATTAAAGAGGCATTAGGATATGCTGAAATTTTTTGTTTCAGCAACTTTGTTTGGTGAATCTACTCACTAATGTATTTGGTTTCTTCATTACAAATCTCCACTTTCTTCAATCTACTTTAACAATTGAAGTGTAATTATCATAGGTGGGTAAAGGTTGAGATGAGAAAATCTCATTAAGTTTGCTGGTCCCCAAATTAATGCTGCCACGTGCAAATTCAATGACCGGAAAACATGAAACATGGATTTTGCTGTGCCAATATCTGAAGAACGTCTTTAAAACAAAAAGATTGCCATATTACTGGTTCAGAATAGCATATGATGAACCAATCTCAGATCAGCCAGTTCAGCTGCTATAATGTCAGTGAGATGAAAAAAATTGCGAGAAACTATAATAAGATTGCCCCAGTTGTGTTCATCTGTCCAAGTTTGGCATGTTTGAGGGCTGCAACTGCCTTCAAAGTTTCAATCTTCTATGACAAAATCCAGATATGCTGGAATGTTGAACCAAACAAGAAGCATCTTGAACTTTTTGAAGTGTCAACATGAAAGTTGCAATGTGGAATGCTCTGACAGCATCATAGACGGTACTGATATACAAACATGTTGTACGAGGATCATGTCCTGCTTGCTTGCTACAGTTTGGTATAAAACATGTGATCACAGCTATCTGCAGGTACATTACATGTGAACAACTGGGAATGTTCAATCCAGCTTGCCAATCAACATTGCCTTCAACAGATCACATGTTGTCACCTCGGTTCAAGGCTAAAATTCAACTAGGACAACATATGTCATGTTATCGTCAATCAGATTAGTGAATCCTGAATTTTAGAATGAATGGATGGTTATTGGTTATAAATAAATTACTGCATTTAAAGGGGAAAGAACGAAGAACAAAAAGCAATAGAAAATGACAAAACCATTACTGCCTCTACAGACTCTCCTCTCATCTAACAGAGGTGAGGGAACCCTTTGTGACTGTTGCAAAGGGACAGCCCTGGCCTGAAACAATGCAAAATCACAGCAACAATGCATTCCAATTGTTATGACCACTAAATACAAAATGGTAAGGACTGAAGCAAAGATTCAAAGGGTACGCACTATGTTTAGGTAATTCAGTAAGCGTAGGGTAAGAATGAATGCCTAATGATGCATGATTGGTTTGAATTGTCTTTTTCTTGATGAATAATTGTTCAAAATTGTCCTTCCACTTGACATTTATAATCTAGGCTGCGAGCTGAATCAAATATATTTATTTTACTTTAACAACCTAGACAATATTATTATTCAATTAAAATATATAAAATTAAAAATAAAAGAAAATGTTTCATCTAATTTCGTATTTTTTAATTAAAATTTTGTAGTTAGTTTATTTTCATTATGTCTTTCATAAATTTGGTAATTAAAATAACATGACTTTTATTGTTTAAAATTAATCTCTTCAATTTATCATTCTTAAGGAAATTTTCATCAAATTAATTTTTATTACTTTTTATACATAATTTTATTTGTTAATAAATATGATTTACTTTTCTCTCTATATATAGATTTTTGAATAATTTTTTTAATAAATAATCAATTAAAAAATAGAATTTATGTGTTTTTGTTTTTATTGCAGTCTACTAACTTTAATATATTGCTTACAAATTAATTTTTTTAAAATATTTTTTTATTTATACTACATACTCTAACTCATTGAATATGGGGTGTGTGTGTGTGTGTGTGTGTGTGATCATTGGTTTTATTAAAAATCAACTATACATCTACACACATAACACAAACTATTTATAATTTTTTAATATTATAAAATTAATTCAAAATTTTATATTTAATTTATCCTTCTTTATGTTTTTCATAAATTTTATAGTTAAAAAAATACGATTTGTTATTTCTTATGTATTCATTCCAAGTAAAAATTTGTAAGAATCTAAATAAAAAATTTTAAAAAAATATATCTTAGTATTTTTTTTCATAAGATTGCATAAAAAAAATAGAGCAACAATTAATATAAAAACTTGTATAAATATTAACAAATGAATTTTTTTATTCTTATTTAATGCTAATGAGAAAATTAATTTTTTAAAAAATATATATATATTTGATTTATATATATTTATTTAGAAAATAATCAATAATTTAGTATAAAAATTGTATTTAAATTATTGGGTGTTTTTGCTAAAATAGTATTTTAATTATTTTATTTGAAAGAAATTAATTCTAGAATAATAATAAAAAATTGATAGCAAATATTTGGCGTTATGTATGTATATACATAGTTAATTTTCAATAAAACCAATAATCCCAATTTATATATATATATATATATATATATATATATATATATATATATATATATATATATATATATATATATATATATCATGATCATACTCAATGGATCGAATGTGTAAAATAAATAAAAATATATATTTAAAAAAATTAAGCTTTAAGGAATATATTGAATTAAATAGACTATAATAAAAACAACTATAAAATTGATTCCAATAAATTTTGATTATACAAAGAATAAGCAAATAAAATATATAAATTTTATTTTTCAATTGATTATTTATTTTTTAAAACAAAATTTATTCAAAAATCCATGCATAGAAAAAATAAATTATATTTATTAACAAATAAAATTATATAAAAAAGAAGAATAAAAAATTTATTTGATGAGAATTTTCATAAGAAACGATAAATTCAAGAGATGAATTTAAAAATAATAAGAGTAGAATATATATATATTCTAAAATTTGAAAACATATTATATATAGTTTATAATCACCAAGTATGCATGGAAAATAAAAAATCAACAATCAGCTTTTTTATAGTTTTTATTCCCAATTCAATAATAAACAAATTAAAATAAATTGCTAGAAAAAAAAAAGCAAAAAAGCAAAAAAAACTCAAAAATTACAAAAATGGCATTGCATAATGAAAATGAATAATGTATATGAGTCTGAATGAACAATATTACAAATAATAACTCACTCTAAATCTTTTAGATTTTTTTTATTATAATTATAATGTTCATTAAAGGAGATAAAGTGGAAACATTATTATTGTTGTGAATGCAGAAAAGAGTAGTTTTCAAAGAAAAAGAAAGGCAGGAGTTACTTTAGCTTGGGGAAAGGCATGAAAGAAAGGCTTGGAAAATTTGTTCATACAGCGAAAGTTCAGCAAATGCCCTTTTATAGAATAAACTAGTTTGTTAATGTTGTAGGATCAGACCAAACATATAAAATCATTTCATTTTGATGAACCACATCATGCCATAAGTCTAAAAATATTTTTCAGCCAATTTTATGATTTTTTTAATCAATAATTTATATTTAATTAATTTTTTCTTAAAAATAATCAAGGTAAATATTTTTTATTATTTTCTAATCAATAAAAGGAATAAATCATGAAATTGTACAACCCAAGACGATCAAAAAATTATTTCAACCATCTAATCAAAGGAGATGATAAGTATTTAGTATAACTTATTATATTATAATATTTGCTTATTTGTCTCGTTGTATGACTATATAAATTCTACATGAGTTGGTTGTAATTCATTCAATTATCATTACTATTCTCTTCTATTTAATTTTTTACACACTTTCTGATATTTTTCATAAATTTTCCCCTTAAAAACATGATTTGTTCTTCTTTCATGTATGAACTCCTAAATAAAAACTTATGATAATTTTAAAAAAATTAATTGAAAATAAAAAATGCCTTGATATTATTATTCATAAGTTTGTATAAAAAAAATAACTCAAATAACGTAAAATATTATATAAAAATTAACAAATAAAAAAATAATTTTTTATTTCTTTAATGTTGATCACAAGATTATCTTTCAAGATATATATATAACCTTATTTAGTACCATAGGATGGTTTTATATATATATAACCTTATTTAGTACCATAGGATGGTTTTATATATATATAACCTTATTTAGTACCATTTTTTCTAACACGTATCATTTTTTTTCTGGCTAGCTAATGTGAAAAATCCAAAAAATGACAATTATTTTTTTCATTATTTTAACACAAAATTAATAATAAAAATAAATCATCCAAAAGCAAGCTAGGCCTAGGACACAAATGGACCAGTCATTTATATAAAAACAAATGAAAAATAAAAATTGGACGATGCGTCACTCACATATTGTACAATAGATGACACGCCGTGCGCCTATATCTTTTGACAAACTTAGCTTTGGCAAAAAAGTTGTCAGAAATTCAGGAGTACAAGTTTCTGACCTCCTAAACCCCCCCCACCCCCCCCCCCCCCCCCCACACCAAAATACCTCAAAAGTTATTAAAATATCCTTAAATAACTCGTTTATAAACTTGAAATTCATTTTAGTGCACCTAAAAATACATAAATTTAAATTAAATTTATTAAATTTAAAAACTCAAAAATATTTTAGGATTTCAATCTGTTTTTTCTGATTATTTTATATCTTACGATTACTATAATTAAACTCTCTCTCATCATTTCTCTTTTCCATACATTAAGATGTAACTGAAGTTGAGAACATAAAAAAAAAGTTTTTGAAAAAATTAAGAACCAAAATATAGCATTTGTTAAGACTTGCATGTTTAAATAGCTGTAGGAAGGCGAATGGAAGCATAATGTTTTGAAAGAATCAACACCTTTTATATAGAAAAATTATACTATTTCTTATCCATCCAATTCTTTGTTTAACTCAACCATAATAAATGGACA